AAACTATTTGAGGTGAGTTTCTGGGGTAAATACTTTAAACAGGTGATGAACCTCAGGTAGCAATATTTAGTATTTATTGATTGATTGGTTGATTGAGACGTGGTCTCACTGACTATGTAGCCCAGGCCAGCTGGAATTCATGGCTTCCAAGTGCTTGGATTACAGGAGTGAGCCACTGTGCTCAGCCTTGAGCATCACTATTTTAAGCCCATATACATACACACAGAGATGTGATTAAAAATAAAGAAAAAGGATATTAACTCTAGGGATATAATAACTCAAAAAAGCTATGGACAGGATATTATCAACAATCTTATGATTATACCCAAGAAGAAAGCAGACTATCAAAGCTGGAAACATCTCATTTTGTACAGGTTACTATCCTAAGCAAATGAATAGAAACACATGTGCTTACTAAGTTTTACCTTAAAGATTTGGGTGTATATAACTTTGAAAAGATCGACTTTATTCCCTCACCTCCCATAAAAAACCCCAAAAACTAGTATCTACAAACTCCTTTAAAAATCATTGTGACAAAAAGGTCCAAATAAACACTGTCTATATCAAATAAAAACAAAACAAGTGCACAGAACACTTTCTTAAGCAATGAGATTGCCTTCTTTTAGTTTATTTCAACAGAGCATTTGAACTAAAAGTTTCAGCTACCACTTTAGAACCACTGGGTCCTATCAACTCCAAACAAACCAACCTCTGTGCTGACAGGAACCTTCAGCATGGAAACCCATTGCTGTTTTGTTTTGTTTTGTTTTTTTCCTAGTGGTAATGGGGTTTGAACTCAGGGTCTCACACTTGCTAGGCAGGTGCTCTACCACTTGAGCCACTCCCTCAGTCCTTTTTTTGTGATGGGTTTTTTTTTGAGAAAGGGTCTTTCAAACTATTTGCCTGGGCTGGCTTCAAACCTTGATCCTCCTGATCTCTGCCTCCTAAGTAGCTAGGATTACAGGAGTGAGCCACCAGTGTCCGCTCCATTGCCATTTTTTAAAGAATAAGAGCTAACATGAAATTAACTGAGCCACCACACTTTGATTGCTAGCAAGTTACTTATCAGGAAGCAGCCAATGATAACTGCCCAACGACAGACTGTATATTCAGAGTCTTCATCTTCAGATTAGGATTGAGGCTCAATCAGCACACAAGATGTTCTTTTCCCCCTTATATAAATAAGGACTGGATGCTCATTTTCAAGTGGCTAGATCTACATTAAAGTAAACGCATGCATCTTTGCCATCTTTGCTAGACAGTCTCTAAAGATTCAGCTGACAGTGTCTTGCATCTGCACCTGTCCTTTTTCTCATGTTTCTCTGTAGAATATAATGTTTGACCTAAAAATAACTCTCAGATAGCACTACAGTAAGCACAAAGAGAATCGGAAATGGCCAAGAACCACAAGCCTCATTAAAAAATTAAAATTCACTGCTTGTTGCTAACCTAATTTCTTCTGGGTCCCAAAAAAATCTCTTTCCGGCCATAGACTGATTTGCGACGCAGATTTAATCCTTTCAAATAAGCCAGTAATTTAAAATGACAATGTAGCTAAATGCAACGGAAGGTTGAACAAAATGAATGTGGAGACAGGCTTAAAAGCCTTCAACCTTTCTGTTTCTTGAGAAAGTACCATGGAGGCATTTGGACAGCATGTAATAATGGACATAAACAGGGTGAAATTAACAGTTGGTTTGCTAAACGTGGTACCTACATTTAGAAAGAAATCAAAGAAATAAGAATTCAAATAATAAAACAGAAAACAACCACAACCGTGGTTAGTAAATTAGCTGCCAAGCTCTCAAACAGGCTGCTTTTGCAAATTAACTAGCAAAAATTATGATAAAATTTTAGTTGCATTTTTTCACTGAATAATTTACAAACTTTTTTTTAAAACCTAACCCACAGTAAGGAGTATATTCCTCAGTCTGACCAAGCGAATACACAAACACCCCTTCCCGGTAAGAAGCAGAAGGTTTATGCGATAATACAGTGGAGTGGGTGGCTGGCTGGCCACAGAATCCCTCCCTTGCTCCCCCTGCAGCAAGACACATGGCCGCTCAGCTAGACAGTACATTTGGAGCCACCCTGGCTAAGGTTTTTGCCAACAGGAGAGCAGAAGTGAAGTGTGGCACTTGTAAGTCTGAACCTTATTGCCCTGGGTTTATGCTGCCCCCACTCTGGGATACCAGTGAACTGTGGCCCAGCTTCTGCTGTGGACAGAGGAAAACAAGATGGAAGCAGCTGGGTCCTAAGGCTTGTGTGGAGCAGCACTGTCTGCCAGTCTGAACCTTGAGATTTGTATGAGAGAAGGAAATCTTTATTTTCTTCAGGTCACTGGATTTTGTGGTCTTTCTGCTATAGTAATCTAGCCTTTACCCTAAAATTTTATGTTTACCTGTGCTACTGCACGTACTTCATTATTTTCTATTCTGCTTTTTCGTATTAAAAAGAGAAATGATACTTAAACTACTAAACCAATTTTCCAATTCAGTAACTGTAGCCATAACCTAGTTTGAAAACTGCTATACTACAAAGAAAAAGAGTGAAAAGGAAAAAAAAAAATCAGAAAAGGACGTACTTAGCAAACTGAATAATTCTAACCATAATAATCAAGAGAGGATCAAACTGGCTATTTCATGAACTTGACTCACCTTCCTATCATTTGACATAACTGTCCCCTTGTTAGTATTCTTTCTGAATTAAAACCTCCAAACAAGAGCTGGACATGGTGGTTCACACTTATAATCCCAGCACCGGGGATACTGAGGCAGAAGCAGGAAGATCCTTTCTTTTTTTCATGTATGTCTGTGGTACTGGGGTTTGAACTCAGGACCTACACTTGAGCCACTCCACCGGCCCTTTTTTGTGATGAGTTTGTTCGAGATAGGGTCTTGCAAACTATTTGCCTGGTCTGGCTTCAAACCTCAATCCTCCTGATCTCTGCCCCCTGAGTAGCTAGGATTACAGGTGTGAGCCCCAGCGCCTGGGTAGGCAGGAGGATCTTGAGTTTGAGGCCAGCCTGGGTAGTTAGTGGGGTCTGGCTCAAGTGAAGAGTGCTTGCCTATAAGGGGCAAGGCCTGAGTTCAGTGGTTCAATCCTCACTATCACACACACACACACACACACACACACACACACACACACACAAACACACTAGAAAACAAAGAAACTATGGCTTAAAGATTTTAAATCTTAATCTTTATAACTAAAAGGTGCCTAATTAGAAAACAATTCTTTAAACTCAGATACATTTTAGTGTTTAATTATTTTAGTTAGATAGCACTTACTTTTAGAATATACCAAAACTCTTAATGACTTTTATTAGTGACAAGTAGCAGAGGTCTACATAATCCGAATCAGAAGAGCACGTTAATGTTCATTATTAATATGTACAAAATCAAACACAAAACCCTCCTTAAAAATATATGCTGGAAGGAGGCAGATATCAGGAGGATAGAAGTTGGGGGCTAGTCTGGGAAAAAGTTCTTGAGACCCCATTTCAACCAGCTACACAGAAAGCCTAAATAGGAAGATTGGAGTCCTGGAGAGCCCGGGCATAAATATGAGATCCTATTAGAAAAATAACTAAAGCAAAAAGGGCTGGTGGTGTGACTCAAGTGCAAGGCCCTGAGTTCAAACCTCAGTTATCCTCCCCCCACAAAAAAATCATACACACACACACACACACACACAGGGTAGCACATGCCTACAATTCCAGCACTTGGGAGGCTGAGGCAGTACAATCTCAAGTTTGAGGTCAGTCTGGGTTACACAAGAACTTGTCTCAAAAATTGAAAACTAAAACTAAAAATATATACCGCTAGGTAAGCAAACTAATAACCACTTACCCTTACAAATAGTTTTCTTTTAGTATTTTTATATGCTTAATATTTCAAAAGCAAGGTATTAAAACAGTAGAGATGGCAGATAATAGCTTCAATAATAATCCATGAACACATACATGTATGAAGAAATAAATATGTAAACAAGGAGGAAGGGAAAGTACTTTCTGAGAATGACAATTAATACTGTAGAATGAATGATGGACTTGAAAATCCATTACTGTAAAAACTCATCCTCATGAATCATCAACGGATGGTAAAACACTAGAAAGTTTGGTGAGAAACAGGATTTTTACACAGGTATCTCCCCAAAATACACCTGTTAATAACAAAGAGAAAAATAGTAACTTTGTGGTAGAGAAAGCTGACAGGCACTGCCTCAACTAAGCCATTAAAATGCCATCACCAATAATGGAATACACTGACATCATGTGACTTTGGAGTGACATGGCAGCTAAGTGCAATGTAGGGTCCTGGGCTGCTCCTGGGGTAAGAATTCTTTTTTTCTATAAAGGATGTTGGAACAATTGGCAAAATTGGAGAAAAGTCTAGATTTGACTAAACCATTGTGTAAAAGTCAACTTCTTGAATGTTCTCATTTAAGAAGACACACATTTAAGTATTTGTAGGTAATGGGTATCATGAGTGCAACTTATTCCAAAGGTTCAGAAAAACAAATAACATGCAAATGTGGAATAATCTTAACATTTGGGGAATCTGGGTAAAGGGTACATGTGAATTCTTTGCACTATTCTTGCAAAACAATTAAAAATAGGACTGAGATGTTTCAAGCATGAAGTCCTGAGTTCAAACTGGAGTCCCACAAATCCATAAATAAGTAATAAAATAATAAATGGTAAACAAAACATGAACTATAAATAAGAAAGAAGGTGAGCATGATAAGTGCAATTTTGGTTTAATTATTCATGTGTTTAAATTATTATTGCTATATTTCACTTAAGCATTTTGGAGTACTTTGCAAGCACATTTTATTTCTCTCACTTTATACATAGAAAGCTCAGACATATAGAAAAGCTCTAAACGTGGCCAGTTGATGTTAGAATGGAGACAAGGAAAATGTGACTTTTCAATTGACAGCACAGCATTTGGACGTGGTATAGCTAGACACACCAGAGGCATTTGCTTGTTTACCTTGCTCTATTGTAAATCACTGGCTCATTTTCTTCCTGCACAGTTGTCAGCATGTCCAAGTCATGGAATATTTTCTGCATATAGTCCAAATATTTACATCCTGAAGCTCTTTCTACTATGGCTGCCAGCAGGGTATAGCCAAAAGTTGAATACAAAAACTGACTACCTTGAGACATCATTGCAAAGGGGGAAAGAGAGAAAATGTTTAATTATTATTCAAAAAATATGTAAACTATTTCCCACTGAAAACAGGCATACCTTTCACATGGAACATTTTACTTCAACATTTAGAAAAGATCATAGATGACATATCACCAAATTGAGTTAGCTTTGTAATGGCCCACTCATTCCCTCTCCCTCACATAGGGCCACCTCCTGAATACCAGAATAAAATGATGATCAGTACGTGTGTACCCAACATTTCACAGTAATCTGCTCCCATGTCTGATAATGAAACAAGCAAATAAATCCCACCTGGAAACCAAATAGAAAAGGGAAGGAAAGTAAATTTGATTTCTTGATCAACTGTCTTGCTTGCAACACATCTAACTATCCACTGTTTAAGGTGTAAATGGTGCACACATTCTTATTTTTTAACAGAATATATGTAGGCACAAAAAATTTGTTTCAAATACATATTTTAATACAAAGATATATACACACATATGTGTTTTCAAATATATAACTTTGTATCACTTTGTATCCTGAAAACTTAAAAGATTTTATGATCCATTCTAAAAATAGGTGGAAATCTTATTTTTAAAGACAAAATCCATAATCACATTTTCTTTGCCCTTATTAATTATATCTATATAGTATCTATTCACAGTAAAAAACAACTTTTAGAATGAAAATGGAATAAAAGTACATAAAACTTGGTAAATTTAAAGATATTAAGTAGTTTCAATAGACATCATATAAAAATGTGTATAAAAACAAAGATAACACCAGGCATAGTGGTGTACAGCTGTAAACCCAGTACTCAGGAGGCTGAGGTAGGAGAATCAAGAGTTTGAGGCCCATCTGGGCTACATAAAGAGACACTGTCTCAAAAATAATTTTTTTTTTAAAAAAGGATGAAAAAAACAAAGATAATTATTTTTATATATTAGCTTTTTGGGAAATAAAATTAAGTCGATGAACACTAGCTTCTTGAAGGAAGGAAGGAAGGCGCAAAATAAGTGATTAATAATTGAAAATAAGTGAGCTGGCAGCTCACTTATGCTAGGTATTTGGGAGGCAAAGATGAGAAGGATCTCAGTTCAAGGCCAGCTTAGGCAAATAATTCATGAGACCCTATCTCGAAAATACCCAATACAAAAAGAGTTGGCAGAGTGGCTCAAGTGGTAGAACACCTGCCCAGCAAGCATGAGGCCCTGAGTTCAAACCCTAGTACGGCCAACAAAAAATTCTAACTAAATATGAAAACATTAACAATACTTTACCCTTTCCACTTCGGTCTAGGTTTTATTTAAAGACTATTATTCCAACATTCTCCATATTTTTCATGAATATTTTGTACTGAGAATCCTCTGAGTGGGCAGCCTTCCATGAGACTAAATTTAACACCTCCCTGCCTGCCAGCCAGGGCTGACTGTAGATGAAATGCTGGCACTCTTTGCCTGTGGTCCTAGTCACTGACCTCTTGATGGCACTCAGGATGGCATCATTTGGAATTCCTGAAAATTAAAACTTCAATAATAATGACTTTCTTAAGAGAAGTAGTTAACACTCACCAGGTTTAAAGAACAAAGGATCGTTTTTAAATAATCTAAGGGATTCAATTGAATTTTCAAACTTCTCTTTCAAATACAATTCACCTTGTTCAAAATCATTTTTTTTCTTGCCGGGTTTTGAATTCCGGCATTTTGCTTCATTGTCCTGTTCAGTTTTAGCTTTCACAAAGTCATTCTTTTCATGACTTTTGCCTCCTTTCTCCTTCAGCTCCTTTTCTGGGTCAGACGCCATTGCCTCTTTCATCATCTTCAAGGCTTTATAAGCTTTCTCTTCTTTCACCTTTTTCATGTCCTTTTCATAATGACGAATTCCACTTAAGTGGGAAATTAGTAATCTTGTTGTAACAGAAACCTAATTGCAAAAACATGAAAACTCAATTATTACGTTAAACTGTAATAACAAGTCCATAGCCTTGGATGAATGCCTCAGTAATAGTATGCATTTTTAATTGCTGCTGGAGAAATGTCAGGTACAGATCCTTCCCCTCAAATTTCACAAAAATACCTACAAGATTACCATCTGGATTAAAAAAATACTTAATCTACTAACAACAACTTCAATCAAAGCCAAGAATTCGATGAAACATTTTAAATGTAAATGCCAATACAATTTACACGCCATTAGTAAAATGAACTGTGAATTTCACTACCTTTTCCCCTTCGTATTCTTTTTCTGGGAATTCGGGAACATAGTGTTGCACCGGAACATCGAGATCCAGTTTCCCTGCTTCCCACAGCTTGGCAAGGGCAACCATGGTGAGGCTTTTGCTGATGCTGGCAATCCTCATAACGGTCTCTGGCTTGCATGGGACACGGTTCTCCACATCCTGCAAACCCTAAACCTTTGGGAGAAATGAAGCAAAAAGTCTCTATCCTTAGGTTCCTGGTCAAACAAGTCTTCAAAAACTGAAATACTACCATCTTAAAACATGCTGTGTATGTATCCAAAGGAAAAGATGCCTTTTATAAGTTACTTAAAACTAGACATTAAGAATGAGAATCTTAGCAACACTGACCATGGTAAGCCTAATGATCTAACCTTATAACTGAACTCTGGACTTTTTCCTGTGTGTAATAATTTTCCATCTGATTCAGACAGTAATTTTTCTTAAATTATTTTAACAATTGGGCTATTCCATATTTTAAATAAATGACTGTGTTCTTTAAAGAAAACATCATTCTTCACATTGTATTCATTCTTGGTTTTTAAGTGACTTTCCACTGAATTCCTTAAAATAGGCACTCAATAAAGGATGTCCTGCAGACAAAGTCCAACTAACCATCAATTTAATTCAGCTGCCAGCCAGAAGAAAAACAGTGTTCTACTGATTTTTTAAAAGCTCCTTCTAGAAAACATTGTTTCCATCTTCTGTCTAGGGTGAAAATGTGGAATGAGTTCTAACAGATATAAAGAAAGGAGTGCAATATAAGTGTTTTTATTTTCATTTATTTAAACATTTATTTTTGTTTGTTTTTTGAGATAGGGTCTAGCTATGTAGCCCAGGCTGGCCTGGAACTTGCTACATAGCCCTGGCTGACCTCAATTCTTGATCATCCTGCCTCAGCCTCCCAGGCACTGGGATTACAGATGTGACCCACCATACCCAGCTCTCAATGTCTGTTTTTAAACTATAAATATATATTATGGTAAATATATTTGGCACTACTGGGATTTGAACTCACAGCCTCATGCCTGATAGGCAAGTGCTATACCTCTTGAATAATTTCTCCAGTACTATGACAAAACATATTTTATAAAAATAAAGTCCTCATACACGATTACACAACTTTTCATAAATTAGGTATGTTGATTAGGTTACAGACTTGGGGGAAGAATAATATTTCAAAATCCCACTGCTTTTGTGAACTTCTAAAACTACTATCTTTAAATAATATCTGAAACTTCATTTACTAAAAGTAGGATTCCTAAAAACCTGGGGTGATCAACTAGACCAATTTGTATGCAATAGATAAGTTATAAAATGATGCTTTGATAAAAGTAGCATAAAGTGAATAGAAACACCTCTCCCAAAGATCCTAGCTTTTTGCACACCCACAGTGGGCATACATTGAGACACCCCTTTGAATGTCAACTTAAATATTAATAACAAAAACCAGGACTGTAAAATAGGCACAGTGTGCCTATTTACTTTTATAATAAAAAAGTAAATTCATATTTTGTATAGGAAATATTGGTAGGCTATCAGATTTATTATTCAAAAATAAACCACATTAATAAAATGTACTGAATGTCTATGTGGCAGAAAAACAAAACAAAACAGTTAACACCACTGCCTGGGAAAAAGAATAATAAAGTATATTGTAAACTCATAAAGGACCAGAGACAGTACAACACATATATACATGGAAGTGCCATAATAAAACTCCCTATATAGTTATCTTAAACAAACCAAAAATGCCTTTTTTCAAAAATGGAGAACAGGAAGGTAACACAGGTCCTGTCTCAGGTTGGTACCAGTGGTGGTGGTGGTGGGGGGGAGCGGGGAAGATATAAGGAAAGGGTGTAGGAGAGTGAATGTGGTAGAAATATTCTGTACATGAAAATGGAGAAATGAGATGCTGAAACTATTCCAGGAATGGGGGAAAGGGGATAAAGGAGAATGATGGAGAGGGTAAATTTAAGATATATTGTAAGCACTTCTATAAGTTTTGCAATGTACCCCCGTACAACAGTAATATGATAATATAAAAAAATTAGAAAGGGACCAGGGACAGTAATATACCTAGTACTTAGTACAGTGCCTTTTACAAAAAAAGGGAATCAGAACTGGGGGTGTGGCTCAAGCGGTAGAGTACCCACCTAGCAAGTGCAAGACCTTGACTTCAAAACTCAGTACCGCCCCCAAAAAACCCAAAAACACAAAAACAAAAACAGAAAAAAGGGAATCAATAATTTGTTGACTGGATTAAAAAACCAAAAATACTGAAATTCGATCTACAAATATGCAATAACGAATATGTTATGGATTGTTCTACATACAATGTTCAATATAGCCAGTCTTAAGGAAAAAAACTGGGGAAACAAACCATTTTTAAGACTCCCAATTTATTTATGAGACACATTTCATTAATTAGTTTTGGTGCTGGGGATTGAATCCAGGCTTCGTAGATGCTAAGCATGGGTTCTACCACTGAGCTACACTCGCAGCCTTATTAATCACATTATAAATCTTGCTGTGAAATAAAAAAAACCCAACCGATTATTTTTATTATTATTTGGCAGTATTGGGATTTGAGCTCAGGGTCTTGTGCGTGGTAGGCGGGTGCTCTACTGCTTGAGCCACGCCCCCAGTTCAACGCCGTCATTAGTCTGCAGGTATGCTGGGTCTACACTATGAATCACTTTATGAAAAGCAATAGCAAACGGCTCACGGATTCACTCCAACCAGTAGAACGTCATTTTATTCCCCCAACTGGCACAAGACAAACCACTAAATCACATTTCCGAGCCCACCTTCTGACCAGACTTCTTTTCCATCTACGGACACTCCAACTACTATGCCCGGTGCGCCAACCTCATCCTAAGGGCAAAAGGGAAAAGAACAGACCACTCAAGACTGGCGGAATAACCTCACACACCATCACAGGCTTTCAGGTGGGCATCCCCGCCCCCGCTCCAGACCCCGCCCACAAGGCTCAGTCCCGCCCACTTGGCGCAGGCTCCGCCCCGCGGGAAACCGCGAGAGGTGCGCCCAGTCCGCACGCCCACGGGGTAGGAGCAGGACAGGGGCAGGGACAGGAGCAGGGGCGGTCTCCCCGCGGGCTGGGGCGGTCTCCCCGCCGGCTGGGGCGGTCTCCCCGCGGGCTGGGGCCTCAGCCCCGACTTAGGCAACCCCAAGAGCGTGTGACAGTGGCCCGGCGGTCGGGAAACGGGAAGTCTTTCTCGGAAGCCGGCAGCCGGCGCCCCACCGCCCGGGGTGGGGTCCGTTTAGCCCTGGGAGATCACCACCGAGGGGCTGGGGAAGGGATCGGGCGCGGGGTCCCCTCCGCCGTCTCCGCACCTTGATCCTATGCAGCAGGTCACGGCTGCTGTCGATGGCCCTGGCGAAGCACTTGGCGGGGGACGGTGCCGGGGTCTGCGGAGCCCGCAACGCGAGGGACGGCTCCTGTGGCGGCTCGGCCAGAGGCTGCGCCTCCGGGTCCGGGGTGTCCGGGAGCTGAGCGGGGGTGGCGCCCCTCAACCCGCCGGCCAGCTTCGCCCCGAGAGCCAGTCCCAGCCCCAGCCCCAGGCCCCCCGCCCAGCCGTAGCCGAGCGGTGGCAGCCCGGCCCGCCAGTGGGCCCCGCGTCGCCCGCAGCCCCAGACCCGGCCCCCGATGGTCGCGGTCTCCGCCGTCACAGCTGACAGTAGCCGGTACATGGCGTCTCTGGTCGCCCGCCGCTCGGAGCTCGCGCAGGCCGGGCCCCGGCGGCGGGGAGGGGCGTGGGGGGCGGGGCCGCGCGCAGACCCGGGCAGTCGACGCCTGAGGCCGGAGCGCAGATCACATCGAGCCCCTCGGCCTTCCCTTCCCTCTGCCTGGTCCCCTTACTGGTACTGATATTTTCCCACCTTTCCTTCCCTCCCTCCCTCTTTCCTTCTTTCATTCCTCGCCCCTCAGATCAGTTGTCACCTCCTCACAAGTCTTCTTAGTCCCCATCCCTTGGAATTCTAGCCCACACCATCTTGCCCCACGGTGTGCGCTCCTCCTTAACAACTCTGAACCCTTCCCATCTTTGAACCTGTCAGACTCCTTACCAGACTGGGACTTTCTTATGGGGCCTCAGCTTCTGAAACAGCGCCGCAGCAGACATTCAGCAGATCTCTGCTTTTTCCTCTCAACACTCTAACTTTTATGTCTCACTTCATCTCTTCCTGTTTCCCTGAGGAACCATAAAATCTCTTCTGAGCTCTAACTCCACACTAACTGACATGAAGTATACTATAGTGGCTGCCTTGGGTTAAGGAGGGGAGGGGGTGGGAGGAAAGTGGGATTGTTTTAAAAGGACAGCATGAAGAAACCTTGGCAGTGGGGAAAATGTTCTCCATCTTGATTGTATCATTGTCATATCCCAGTTGTAACATTGTAGTACAGTTTTGCAAGATGTTGCCATAGTTAAAACTTCATAAAAGGGTACATCGGATCTCTATGCCTTATGTTTTAGAACTACACATGAATTCACAACGATCTCAAAACAAAACATTTGATTAAGAAAAGATACAATATAGACAGGTCAGGGTGGCACAAAACCTGTAATCCCAGCTACTTGGGAGGCAGAGATGGAAGGACCCCCGTTTCAGACTAGCCAGGGCAAAAGGGACACCCTAACTGAAAAATAAGACAGAGCGCCTGCCTAGCAAGCTCTAGGCTCGGAGTTCAAACTAGGACGCTATCTAAAATAAATAAAATAAAAATATAAACCAGGATGAGTATTTGAAACTCAAATATAATATCTATTACTCAACATTTTTAAAGCATCTTTGTTGATAAGAGAAAGTCCAGCTGGTATCAGTGGCTCACATGTGTAATCTTAGCTATATGGGAGGCTGAGATCAGGAGGATTACGGTTCTAGGCCAGCCTAGACAAGAAATTTTGCATGACTCCATTTCATCAGAAAGAAGTTGTGTGTGGTGGTACATATGTCATCCCAGATATGGCAGGAAGTGTAAAATAGGAGGTTTGGGGTCCAGGCCAGCCTGAGCAAAGGTGAGACCTTATCCCCCAAATAACCAGAGCTAAAAGGGCTAGAGGTAAGGCTTAGGTGGTAAGCACCTGCCTAGCAAGCGTGAATCTCTGAGTTCAAATCCCAGTGCCACCTAATAATAATAATAATAATAATAATAATTTAAAAAGTCTTGACATTTGTAGTTAAACATATGGTAGGATAACCTATTGAGGAAAAAACCTTTTTTTTTTTTAACAGAGTTGGGCACACCACAAAGGAATGAACTTTATTTCCTCTTTTGCCAAGAGAGCTCACAGTTCTCTGAGTCCTGCAGGTCTGGTCTTTCCTAACTGTAATTGCTTGTTATGAGAGGTCTCAACCCACTGATGTCTAAACATAGAAATGTTACTGTCTTCCCCAGTAAATGCTACCTGCTTTGCTTGATCAAATGGCTCCCCAAGTTGGCTAGAGGGGAACTTTAGTAATAGTTCCTTCCATTCTAAAACCTTTTCAGTCACATCTAGCTATTAAAACAGGTAATTTCATATGAATAGTTGGTTGCTTAGGCACTGCTTTCTCTTCCAAGGCCAGAGTAGTGCCTTTTGTCCAGAAACAGCACTGTGCCTCTCCACCTGCAGGTAGTTCCTGGAAGAAGTCAACTGGGAGATGCAGGTTTGCCTTCTTTTCTAGTCCCAGACAACCATGCTAAGAGGCAAATGAGGGGAAAGAAGGTAGGTGGACATTGGTAGTTGCTGCAGGTTCCAAGACTGTGACCCTGGGTTTGGGTCACATAGCTGCAGAACCTGGGCAGGCTGCCCTCAGAGGGTATGGCTGCTTGTGTCACCCAGAAGGAACCTTTGCAAAAATCAATGAAGACCTCCCTTGATGGCACCCACCATAATAAGCACCATCTAAGTATTTGTTACTGTCAGTGTCATTTGTAAGGAAGGTGAGATTCATAAGATGAGAAATTCTCCCAAGTAAAGGGCAGGTGAGGTCCAAAAGAATGAAAAAAGCCATTCCACCCTGATCAGTGCTGAGGAGTGTACCAAATATACATTCATCTACTTGTTCATAAAAATGCAGTGTCCACAGGGCTCAGGTTGCTGATAATGCCCTCACCCTTTTTTTTTTTTTTTCTGGCAGCCCTAGGGTTTGAACTCAGGCTCTCACACTTGCTAGGCAGGTACTCTTATGGCTTGAACCACGTCACCAGTCCTTTTCTGTGATGTGTTCTTTTGAGATAGGGTCTTGTGAACTATTTGCCTGAGGTGTCTTCAAACTGCGATCCTCCAGATCTCTGTCTCCTGAGTAGACTGGGATTACAGGCATGAGCCACCGGTGCCTGGCTGAGCCTTCTTGATTAAGCCTCAGCCTTGCTGTAAAGATTTGAATAATGGCTGGTGGAGTGGCTAAAGTGGTAGAACATATGCCCAGCTAACATTATAGGCCCTGAGTTCAAACCCCAATATGAGCTAAAATAAATAAAGACTTGAATAAACACTAACATCTTTTCTTACAGCTCGAATCTGTAAGACCCTATGCTGCCTTAAAGTGCCTGCCTGGGAAAACTCAAAGCTGCAAAAAGAATTTACTCTCTGTTCCAGCCAGCACCTGAACGTGGAAGCCTAACTCTGATAGGCTCAGTTAGAAAAACAGATGGGTTTCACGTGGAACAACCCCTTCTCACTTTTTGTGATTTTCCACTTTCTTGACTCTGTTTAAGCCCTCATCATTTGCTCTCCCATCTCCCTCAGCCTCTCTCTAAAGTACCCAATTGCCTCTGCCCAAATCCCAGTGACACTTAGTTGTTTCCCATGCTATTGGTAGCTACTGACTAAAAATCTGTCTCAGCGTTTTAACTAATTTCCAGCTGTGTTTGCCTTTGACTCAAATTGTTCTGTCCAAAACATGGCCCTTGAGAAATGGACCCTTGTTTTCAAAATGAGGCCTTGTGGGTGTGATCACTTGTGACTCACTGAGCTGTACACTTTATGATCAGTGTATTTTTTCTGTCTTCATGTTGTACTTTAATGCAAAAGCTTATAATAAAATAAAAACCCCAAAAATGATATTGAGGGATAATTTAGAAACTACTGAAATGGTGTTAAATAGAAAAGGTAAGACATTCTGATTCCCAATGGCAAAAACATAAACATGGAAAGAGAATGAGAACATAGACAAATAGGGATTTGCTATAATTGCAGGTGCTTTTAAAAAGAATGTTCTTTAATGGTATATTAAAAAAAACACTTTATTGATATGTAAAGGAAATATCACTGCACATATTTAAAGTGTACAATGTTTTGACAAATATTTATTTGAAACTGTTACCACAGTCAAAATAATTAATAGATTGGCTGGGTGTGGTGGCACTTGCATATAGTTCCAGCTACTTGGGAGGAAGAGGTAGAGAGGATCTCCATCCAAAGCCAGCTGGGCAAAAGCACCAGACCCAAAGAAGAAGGAAATTATGTTATTTGCAGGTAAATGGATGGAATTTCATGTTAAGTGAAGTAAGCCAGGCTCAAAATACCAAAGTTGCATATTTTCTCTCATATGTGGAAGCTAGACCTTTAAGTTAATAATATATACATATATACAATTATCTCTCTCCTTATATATATATCTAGACAGAGTGATAGAACAAAAATGTGTTAGTCAGTGAATTGGTCTGAGGGAGGTATGGGAGGTGGGAGAGAAAGAAAATGGTAGAGAATGAAAAATATTGCAATAATCCATTATGAACATAACACAATGCACTGTACGGTAAGTTGTTGAATATTGGGGGAGCACAGTGACAGAGAATGAGTAACGGGGAGGGGGTTGATTTGATAAAAGCACAATATACACAGACCTGCAGTATCAAGGCGAAACTCCCTTGGGCTATCAGTGTACACTTAATTTTAAAAACTGAGGGGCAAAACTATACATCAGACAAAGGACTGATAACCAGAATATATAGGGAACTTAAAAAACTAAATTCTACCAAAACTAATGAACCAATAAAGAAATGGGCAAGTGAACTAAACAGAACTTTCTCAAAAGAAGAAATTCAAATGGCCAGAAAACACATGAAAAAATGCTCACCATCTCTAGTAATAAAGGAAATGCAAATTAAAACCACACTAAGATTCCACCTCACCCCTGTTAGAATAGCCATCATCAGCAACACCACCAATAACAGGTGTTGGCGAGGATTCGGGGAAAAAGGAACCCTCTTACACTGTTGGTGGGAATGTAGACTAGTACAACCACTCTGGAAAAAAATTTGGAGGCTACTTAAAAAGCTAGACATCGATCTACCATTTGATCCAGTAATACCACTCTTGGGATATATCCCAAAAGACTGTGACACAGTTACTCCAGAGGCACCTGCACACCCATGTTTATTGCAGCACTATTCACAATAGCCAAGTTATGGAAACAGCCAAGATGCCCCACCACTGATGAATGGATTAAGAAAATGTGGTATCTATACACAATGGAATTCTATGCAGCCATGAAGAAGAACGAAATGTTATCATTCGCACGGTAAATGGATGGAATTGGAGACATCATTCTGAGTGAGGTTAGCCTGGCCAAAAGACCAAAAATCGTATGTTTCCCTCATATGTGGACATTAGATCAAGGGCAAACACAACAAGGGATTGGACTTGAGCACATGATAAAAGCGAGAGCACACAAGGGAGGGGTGAGGATAGGTAAGACACCTAAAAAATTAGCTAGCATTTGTTGCCCTCAATGCAGAGAAACTAAAGCAGATACCTTAAAAGCAACTGAGGCCAATAGGAAAAGGGACAGGTACTAGAGAAAAAAGTTAGTTCAAGAAGAATTAAACTAGAAGGTAACACCCACGCAC